ATATAAATGTTGATTGTAGAATGTAACCTGGAAAAAAATCAGTATTCATGGGGAGACCACTCTAATTTTACCTCTTTTAGGGATTGGATCCTCTAAGCTTGGGGCATCTGCAACAACCCAAGTCATTCATCCAATTACCACATGCTTCCAATCGATTTCAGCTGGAGCATCCACTGATGTTTCAGGCACCTCAAAGCTTGGGAGGAGTACCTTCTGCCAATGTGGCATGTATAAGACCGGGAGTGCCTTTAAGTCAAAATCTGAATACAGGGAAGGATAGCCAATTATGTTTTATCGATGTGTCTGATGGTGATTCACTGGCACCAGTTTGTCATCCTGTTTTGCCTCATGTAAGTGCAGGTCTGCTTATCAAGGTGTCTTTTTTTATGATATTTATAATAACCTAGCCAATGCTTCAAAACTAAAAAGAATTAGTTCGGTCATTGTTTCTCAAGTATGGCTGCAAAGATTTGAAAATTGTTCATGGGAAGTATGAAGTATGGAAATTGATATATAGAGGAGGTTTTTTCATTTGAGTCTTTAAGTTGAAATCATATGGTTGCAGATCCAAGTTTTTTCTCGTTAATTCTACTGATGAATCTAATTAGCGTAAACAAATGAAAAGAGAACATTAATAATCAATTTGATAGTTAAATAATGAGTTAACACATGGCAGGCTGATATGGATTGTCTCATGGATGATGGACCATTGGATTATGTGGAGTCTTTCCTATCTCCTATGGAATCAGACGAGAGAGATAATGCAGGTATGGTATCTAACGCTACCAAAGCTATGATGAACTCTTTTCAGAATAGCCGCAGATTATCTTATCCAACCCTTTCTTGTTAACTGAAGGCCCTACACTGAAGGAAATTCGTGTAGTTTCTGCAAGTACAAGTAAAGTTGAATGCTGCTGCTTCTCATCTGATGGAAAACTACTTGCTAGTGGTGGGCGTGACAAAAAGGTTAAATATATTAATATTAAGTGGGTTATCAAAATTATAAGATCTTTTACGGGTCAAACTTTTAATTTTTTTTTTTTGATGATTTATTGAGTGTGCTTGTAACCACCCAAGCCCACCGCTAGCAGATATTGTCCTCTTTGGGCTTTTCTTTTCGGGCTTCCCTTCAAGGTTTTTAAAATACCTCTGCTAGAGAGAGGTTTTCATGCCCTTTGTAAATGGTGTTTTGTTCTCCTCTCTAACCGATGTGGGATCTCATAATCCGTCCCTTTTAAGGGCCGAGCGTACTCGCTAGCACTCGTTCCCTTCTCCAATCGATATGGGACCTCCCCTTCCACCCCCTTCGGGGCCAGCGTCCTTGCTTTGGCACACCGCCTCGTGTCCACCCTCCCTTTGGGGCTCAACCTCCTCACTGGCACATCGCCCGGTGTCTGGCTCTGATACCATTTGTAACAGCCCAAGCCCATCACTAACCGTTATTGTCCTCTTTGGGCTTTCTCCCTTTCGGACTTCTCCTCAAGGTTTTTAAAACTCGTCTGCTAGGGAGAAGTTTCCACACCCTTATAAATGGTGTTTCGTTCTCCTCCCCAACTGATGTGAGATCTCACAATGCTACTTTGTTGATATATGGAAGTATGTATGGTTAGTTCCTAGGATATTTCTCAACAATTTATGGTGCAGGCTACAGTGTGGTGCACAAAGTCCTTTAAAGTGAGGTCTACACTTGATGAACATTCGCAATGGATAACTGATGTTTGCTTTAGTCCAAGAACATTAAAGATTGCAACATCTTCAAGTGACGGGACTGTCAAGGTTTGGGATGTTGATAATGTAAGTGAACCAGCTTTTTTATTTAGATGGGCTTAATGCATTATATCTTGTTATTGTATTGTTATAGTCTGACAACTGCCTACAATATTCCAAAGTTTTAAATACAGAACAAGAATTTTTCTTTTGTAAGCTTTCAAGGATAATGGCTCTTTCTACTTGGCTTTGGGACAATCTTTGATAACTAAATAATGTACACACGCACAAACAGAATCTGTTGCGCAAAATTTTGCTTATTTGGGAGTCCCACGTTAACTAATTAAGAGAATGATTATGGATTATAAATAAGGAATACATCTCCGAAGTTTTTTGGGGAAACCAAAAACAAAGCCATGAGAGCTTATGCTCAAAGTGGTCAATATCATACCATTGTGGAGGTCCGTGGTTTCTAACCGGGCATGGGGTTATATCTGTGATTCACCAAACTTCCAACTCTTAATGATGAAGATATAAATACATTTTACAGCATGGCCAATCACTTCGGACTTTTACTGGACATTCTACTGGAGTCACATCATTGGACTTTCATCCTAGTAAATATGATCTCATTTGTTCTTCTGATATTAGTAGCGAGATTAGGTACTGGAGCGTTAAAAGTGGTAGCTGTGTTGGCATTTTTAAGGTATAGATTCAAACTCATACTTTGATTTCTTCCTATTAAATTGTACATTGCATTTATTTATAAAAACATCAACTTCTGCATGTTTGACTACTAAATCAGGGTGGTGCGACAAAGTTAAGGTTTCAACCTAATAATGGAAGAATGCTTGCTGCAGCAATGGGAAATGTTGTTTCCATAATTGACATAGAAACCCAAGTTTGCAGGCTTAAATTACAGGTTTGTTGATGTAAAGTTCACTCGTTTGAGTTTCGTATAGACTTGTAAATCAAATTTTAGTAGATATTGTCCTGTTTGACTTTCTCTTTTGGACTTCCTCCCAAGGTTTTTAAAACGTGTTTGCTAGGGAGAGGTTTCCACATCCTTATAAGGAATGATTCGTTTCCCTCTCCAACCGATGTGGGATCTCACAATCCACCTCCTTTGGGAGCCCAGCGTCCTTGCTGGCAAACTGCCCAGTGTCTTGCTCTGATACCATCTGTAACGTACCAAACCCACCACTACCAGATATTGTCCTCTTTGAACTATTCCTTTTGGACTTTCCCCTCAAGGTTTTTAAAACGAGTCTTATAGGAAGAGGTTTCCACACCCTTATAAAGAATGCTTTGTTTCCCTCTTCAACCAACGTGGGATCTCACAATTAGAACTAAATTCCGCTTTTCCTGGGCAGTTTACTTAATAAAATGAGATTTTATAAAAAGAAAAGTTCTCTTTAGGTAACCTTGTTCATTCATTGATTGTTTTGGATGATCTGGAAAGTATTGAAATGAGTATTTCGTATTTTGTTTTGTGTTCACTTACGGCCATCCTCCTTGCTAGAGGGAGTAACAAGGATATGCATAAAATATCTTCAAGTCATCATTTATTAAACCTTTGATAGACAAGTATGCTGTGTAAATGGACTCTTAAGTGAGTATAATTTAGTGGTGATAGAAAGTAGCTGCTAACATACCATCCATGCGACCTCTCCTTGGAACTTTCTGGTTTGCCATTTCAGGGTCACAAAAACCAAATTCATTCTTTGTGCTGGGATCCTTCTGGTGAATATCTAGCATCTACAAGTGACGACCAAACTAAAGTATGGAAATTTGGCTCTGGTAGCAAAGGAAACTGCATTCATGAGTTGAACTGCAATGGAAACTCATTTTATGCCTGCGTTTTTCATCCCACCGACACCTCTCTTTTGATCATTGGCTCTCATGAGGTTAGTGGCTGCTATTCATTCACATCCTATTTTATTAGCTCTTCTGTGAAAATTTGGAAATTTCCTCTGGAAGCAAATAATATACCATCTATAATGCTTTGGTCCTTACAAGCCAAAGTTCTCGTTAGGAATTGCGAACCTCCGTGCGGGAGCGTAAGCTCTCATGGTTTTGCTTTTGGTTTTTCCAAAATGTCTCGTACCAAAGGAGATAGTATTCCTTATTTATAAACTCATGATTAACATCTTAATTAGCGGATGTAATACTCCTCTTCCAACAATTCTCCACTAGAACAAAGTATACTCTAGAGCCTCTCCTGAGGCCTATGGAGTCCTCGAACAGTCTCCCCTTAATTGAGGCTCGACTCTTGCTTTGGAGCCCTCGAACAAAGTACACCCCTTGTTCAATACTTGAGTCACTTTTGACTACACTTTCGAGGCTCACACCTTCTTTGTTCGACATTAAGATTCTATTAAGGGCATGACTCTGATACCATGTCAGAAATCGCAAACCTCCACAATAGTATGATATTGTCCACTTTGAGCATAAGCACTCATGGCTTTGTTTTTGGTTTCTCCAAAAGACCTCGTACCAATCTTTTGGTTTTGGTTTTTGAGATTATTTAGCATCAAAGTTGTAACATTGAGATTGTTCTTAAATGAATTGTTGTTTTCCAGTCACTGAAGCTTTGGGACATGACAGAAAACAAGACAAGAGCGACACTGCATGCTCATGACAAGCTGGTATCAGCCTTGGCAGCATCAAATGTTTCTGGTTTAGTTGCTTCAGCTAGTCACGACAACTGTGTCAAGCTGTGGCAGTAACAAAATCTACGAGCTCTCTTCTCCACTCCAACCAAATTACTATCCTAAGATCATATGTCGAGTGTCGATATCCATACATCAACGTCTTTTTTGCATGTAGATGGTGACGAACTAAAGCCAAAAGTTATGTCCATTGATATTTTCTTGGGCGTATACTGTAAAAAGGAAAGAAAAAACAAATATCCAGACACAGCTTCATAGCAAACTCTTGTTGTGTGTGCTTTTGAAACGGTCAACACAATCTCTTGCAAGTCAATATATCCATTGCCAGCCTTAAATCTCTGATGTTATTGGTTGTTAATATATAAAACTATTTTATAATGTTTTCTCTTCATAGGAAATTTTCATTATATTAAATACAATAAATTTTATATTTAAAAAATTTATAAAGTATATTTACTCAATTAATTAATAAAGTTTAGCTCCTCCATTAATAAAAATATTCATAAATTCAAAATTAAAAGATATTTTTATTAATTTAGTCAAATTTGATCGATTCAAAAGCTAAAACAAATTAGAAACTCCGTAAATTGGATTATATGGTAAATTTGTTTAAGAGGAGTTTGGATTTGCAATGGTGGGGATCCAATGTGGATGACACGGTATGGTCTGCCCGATTTAAATAAGTAATTAGGAATTAGGATCTAACCTCAAACTTCTACCGCCTCGAATTACCGATATCAGGCCGGTCAGTGAAGGGGGGGCAAGTGCACATTCCAGCGCTGAGGCGATGGCTGATGCTTCTGTTTCTGTGCTTGAAACATTACGAGTGAGAGGATGGAATTTCGGTGATTTGGACGAAGTTAGGGCCGTAATCATGATCGGTAGTGCCTTGGCCGATGATCCGACTTCGGTCGTTGATTCGGTGGAGTCGGAGCTCATAAACATGGACCTTAGGTCCATTGGAGGCAAGTCCTTGCCTGACCTTTCTCTTCTTCGCAAGTCTTCTCGTGTTCTTGGCCCTCTGGTTCTCCAGGTGAATTGTAGTCTCTTATGTCAGGTGTTTCATAGTTGCTGGAAAAAAGTGTGGATAAAGAATCAATAAGTTCATATATCTATCCTTCGTAGTCTGTTGACGCAGTGAATGGAGTTAATTTTATATTTGTTCTTTGATTATGGAGTTCCTTATTTCATATTCCCACTTTTTTTTTTGCGGAAACTAGAAGCGCGGGGTAGCTATTCTTTGTCTTAGTCGCTTTCTGATCAACATTATTTCATCAATGATTTACTAGTAGATGATTTCAGCTGTTTTAGCAGATATCATCAGTAAGAGACATATCGCGAAGTAGCCTAGACGGTATGACGAAGGCTTCTAATGATCGGCGTCTCCTACGGTTCGGTCTCACTGATGGACACACTGAAATTACTGCTATAGAGTACTCTCATATACCATCTATTCCTGATGACATTCCTCCTGGCACCAAGGTATTCCGGATAATTTCTCCTTGCATGTCTTTCCAGCTACTCTATTTTGAAGAGTTAAAGTTCTTGATCTTTTTAAAGTACAAGTTCTTGATAGAAGTTGATTGTCCTGATTAAATCTTTCTTTAAGCTATTAATAAATTTTATAGTATGTGGCTACCCTATGTTATGTAATTCTTTATATGATATATAAATCCTCTGGCCATATGGCATCAAGTTGCTGTACGTAGTTCAGAATGATAGCTTATTATCATTTATCAGCGAGCACAGATAGTTCTCGCCTCTTTTGAGCTGCAGTGACTGTGAACATGTAAAATTGGGAAAACTATACTTGCATCTGGCTGATTATGTGTTACTTTTGAGCTCTTCTCTACGGGAAATCATTTAATTGGATACCGACTTTTTTGGACTGCAACTTTTAGATTTGAATGCAGCTCGCAAGAAACTGCAAAAAGATTATGGATGGCTGCAGGCTGCAGCATTTCTTTGCTTTCTCTTTTCCTTTTAGAACATGTTTGATGCGGGAATGCACCCTCTTTGACTGCTCAATATATTTCTTCTGGAAAGTGGCCTCTGGGTGCTGGAATCTGAAGTTCAGATGATGCCTTAATGAGAGGGAGGAGGGGGGGTACCTTAATTTATTCCAAGGAGTATGTAGCTTCCAACCTTTTTTGCGAAGTGGACTTCCCCATGTAAAACACCTTCGCAAAAGGAAATGAGAAACCTGTGGCTCTGGATCATAAAATCTCAAATGAACTAATGAAATCGAAGAATTTCATGTCCCAAAGGGCATATCCCTACTATTTCTTATCCTTCTGCTTTCTGATGGCAGGTTCGTCTGGAAACTAAAGCTCCTGTGTATAGTGGAATATTATGTTTAAGTTCAAAAGGGTTAACAGTACTTGGAGGTGTAGTTCCAACACTTTATGACGAATGGAAAATGAACCAAAAATACTCTGGTTTATCCCGTGCATCCATAAGGTTATCACAGGGAGGAGATGTTGATGGTCCACCTCCATTTGTGAAGTTCCAAGTTGGGGCGCCTTCTCAAAAATTTAGTCAGAAAGGAATTTCTTCATGTCAGTATTTTGGGCTATGTACTTGTCTTCCTGTATTACTTGTATCTCTGTTGTTTTGCTACTTGCTACTGTTTCTCAAATTATTGCTTTTGTTTTTTATTCAGTAATTTTATGATTAGAGTGGCAAAATTTGGGAGGGATCATTGTGAACCATTACGCTTGTTAGTTATTACATATTTACACGGTTGACTTTACAGAACCACATGGTTAACTGATGGTTAATATTGTGACACGAAGAAAAAAAAAGTTTAAATGCTTAATGGAAATTTTTAATCAAGATTCATGCAACTGGGTCTTGAAGTTATAAGTAGTTCCTCACTTCTAAATAAATTAGCAGAATTAGTTGTAAAATATACTTTTATTACTTATTCATTTACATGATGGAATTCTTTTCCCCATGTACTTCCTGTGGTTGCTTATTCGGTGATAATTGATGAGTTTTATGTCTTGTTAATTTTTTTTTTTTTTTGTGTGTGTGAAGTCTCATTGAATCAACATTTGGAAGGAGAACTGTTCATGGCCATGTTTTGCAGACTCCAAATACGTTATTTAATGTGTGTGGGGATGTTGATAAGTTTGTACGCTGTTACAGATCAACCAGAGTCATCCTCAAAGAGCAATAGGCCTTCTGCTGATTCAGGAAATATTGAAGGTAAATCGACTATAGAGCAACAAAGTGCGGATGCAAAAGCTCCCAATTCTGTCAATTCTGCTTCCCATGTAGAAAAGGTCGAAGAAAAACCTAGCAGCTCTGAAACAAGACCAAGGGAAGGTAATATATCTCTTTAGATCTATGCATTTATCACTGTTATGCCAAAATTTTCAACCGTGGTCTAGGGAAAGAATATTTTCAGCATGGTATTTTCTCCTGGATACCCCAAGTAGTGAATGAATTAAAATTCTATGTTCATGGATATTGTTTTAGAAACGCAAACCAATAACTTAACAGTGAAATCCATTTAGAGATCCTTCCATCTCATAGTTTTGGTAATTTTATTTACAGAACTCCAAATTGTACCCTTAGTACACTAATGTATGTTCTTCAGTAATTATTAATTATAATACAGCATCTTATGTTTCTTCTAGTTGTGGAAGCTGTTCCTGTACAAAATCAGGCTGCCTCTCAGAAACTACTCCACAAAATGAGTCAGCAAGATGGAAACCGAAGGCATTTTGGTAATAGAAACCATAGGGGGAAGGGTAGAATGGAAGATCCGGAGGTGTATACTCTAGAAGAATATGAAAGGAGAAAATCTGGAACGAGTCAATTACCAAAAGAGACATCTTCCAATACGAATCAGGATGAGGAACTTGCACGGAGGCTACAAATTCAATTTGATTTGGAAGAATCTCATGTTAGCATCAATCTGTTTTCCCATGCATATGCTTCTGATATAACATCTCTCTATTTTTCACGTTATATGCTTGATACTGGCTGCAACTTGTCTAGGTACAACAAGAGAGTGCAAGCAGAACAAACGCAGAACATATAAGGATGAGCATGTTCAACTACGAAAGAGATAGCTATACACCACATGGTGGTGGGAGAGGAAGGGGAGGAGGACGTGGGAGAAGAGGAAGGGGACGGGGAAGAGGCAGGTATTATTGAATGGTTACATCTTCACCTTGCGTACTATGTTTCATCTAAATTTCTTCATGTTTTATGATGAATTCGCAAGTTCCAAGTTTGGCTCTAACTTGTTTCTCGTAATTTGTTACAAGTTTTAGCTTAGGTTTAGTGGATTGGTGCATAGCCATACTCTGGTTAATTTTAGTTGGATTACGCTACTTGGATTCTTACTTAGCGATGATAGTTCAATTGGTGAAGCTCAAATGATGTAGAATATCATTTTGGATTTGAATTTCCCCCACTTTATTTGTTCTATTCAACCTTTTCTTTTGTTTAAAATATATCTTAATAAGTTGCAATATTACTCGACTTTTTAGGAGTGTCTCAAAGTTACATTTGGAGTAGAAATCCTTTAGAATTTCATATTTCATATTGGGACATGGAATGATATAGGTCATTGAAAATGGAAATTTAGATCGTCAACTAGAATGTTCTCTCCGTCTTTTAGGTCCCAATTTCTATTTTATATTTTGAATGATTTTAGATAGTTTTAATAAAAAAATCAAGAATAATATTGTTATTTTGAAATAAAAGGCAAGTATAATTTATATATATATATATATATATATATATATATATATATATTTATTGTAAACTTATTTGGATATTCTTTTAGGAAATCATCTTTTCACATTTTTTTAATAAAAAGTTAAGAAACATGTTCCAATAATCATTTTTGAATAATTTTATTTTAATTCATTCTTTTGGTAAGAATAAAATAAAAGTGGTTCTTTTCAAGCGATAATCTTTAACATTAAGCCCAACGATATGAATTAATGTGCATTCCTTAGTGTTTAATTCTTCATACTCTATATACTCTATATATGTTGTACTAAAATCTTAAAATTTAAAATAGTAATATAAATTGTTTCTTGAACAATTCTTTAGGTTTCATTTAAATATGATTTTGAAATTTTGAAGTTATAAAAACAATTGAAAATGAGGTTAAAAGTTTGTAGTAGTTATAAAAACAATTGAAAATGAGGTTAAAAGTTTGTAGTAGTTAATTATGGGTGATTTAAATTTTTAAAGGGCCAATTATTTATTTAGAATTTATATATTTTGTGACAAATTTTATAACGTCTAAGTCGACAATAATTAAATAATAATGTTCCATCCATAATGTTTTAAATAATAATGTTCCATCTCGTGAACTAAAAGAAAAAGAGTTAGGGAAAGAAAAACGAGAGAAATAAAAAAGATAAGACCTTTACCTAACCATTTGGTAGTGAAATGAAAACATATTTTATTTTAAAAATACAAATTTTAAATATATCTTGAAAATATCCTTTAATTTTAAAAGATCGAATTTTCAAAAGTTTCATTAATATCCTTTAAGAATTTTAAAAATACATCGTCTCTTTTTAAAAGCTTCAAAAACACATTTAAATTTTTTTAAAAATTTCAAAAATCTTCTTAGAAACCTTATTAATATATTTCAAAAATACTTCTTTTAACTTTGAAAGTAAATTTATTATTATTAAAGTTTTAGAAATTAAAATTTAAAAGTTTAGAAATGATGTAAGTTTTTTTTTTTTACATTTTCTTTAATAAAATCGAAAGGTGTAATTTTCTTAGGTATTTTTTAAATATGATATTAATGTATTTTAAATTTTTTATTTAAAGCTATTATTATAAAATTTAATAGGATTTGTTTATTAATTTATTCATTTTAAAATTTCAGTCCATGTCCCCAAAGTCCCCAATGGCGTGGGATGTTGGACCGTGGAACCACGTTCTAAAGCTTTCATTTCTTTATTTAGACGAACCAGATAATTGGTGTCTATTGCGAATTTCAAAGTTTGTATTCCAATTGCAGTTCGATTTAACAGTCGCAAACGCTCTCTATCAAGGAGAAGCTAAGCGACTTGAAGATCAGAATGGAGCACAATCTGATTCAGCTATCTGTCGCAGTAATAATCTCATCCATTATCGCCATCGGAGCATACCGAAGAAAGTCGTTGAACCTCTCTGGAGCTCTTGCGGGCTTTATTGTCATGTCAACTCATTTTGCTATCAGCTATAGGTTTGCTAATTTACTGTACTTGATTGGTTATGGGAAGCCGAATCTGTTATTGTTTGGTTGCTGATTCCGAGCTTGTGGTTTTTAGATTAATTTTCCAATTTGATTGTGAATTTCCGACTTCTCTGAACTGTAATTTGATGTGGCTTGGGCTATTTTGATCTTGACTGCTGAATTGATGTTGTCACGAATTCAATCTTTGAAGGTACGGTGCCGTGCTCCTTGTATTCTTTTCCACTTCTTCTAAGCTTACCAAGGTTGGGGCAGAGAAGAAACGAGTCCTTGAAGCTGATTTTAAGGAAGGTGGTCAAAGGAATTGGTAATTCTACTTCCTCTACTTCAAGATATTCACCTCTTAACTTATAATTTGTAGTTTTAGTTGGCTGAAAGTGCTAATTGAAAATTTTGCTGGACATTACTGAAATTTGTGTTTTAGCTGGTGCCTTGATTCTGTTTCTTCAATGCCAGAGCTTAAAGTTAAAAACTGAAATGTATTTTTTGTTTCTTTTCCTTATTTAGCTCGTCCAAGGATTGATATATTTTGCACTTAAGTTGCATACTTGGGGGGTTCTACTATAAAGCTGTTGGTCTAATTTGAAGGGTCAAGCCCATTAAACTTTTACATGGTCAACATGTGTAAATTTTTTGACAAATGTAAGCCCCGATATATGATTCAATTCAATACTGAATATAGTCAATTATATCTTCACAAACTCATATCATAGTGATAAATAAGATCTTCTGCTTCTCCTTGTTTGGTGATAAACCATTTGTCAAAATGGTCTCAAATGGTTCAGAATTGCTGAACTTAAGTTTCTTCGACAATTGACAAGGCTAAATTAACCTGTCATGCATGCTGCTTAGAACGACACTTCGAGAAGAGATAAAAGAAAAGTGTAACTGTGTTCAAGTCAAAGATGAAGATCGACAGAACAGCATATCATTTTGTCATGCATATAAGTGGCATGGTGGTTGTTTGTAATTAGATATGCCAGTACTGTCCTACCAAAGTTTGCAACACCGTTGATGTTCTGTTATTACTCCTTTTCAGGATTCAAGTTCTTTTTAATAGTGGTATTGCTACAGTCCTGGCTGTGCTTATTTGGAAAATTACGGGATGGCAAGATAAATGCCTGGACTCTAAAGACTCAGCTATTGTCACTGCTCTCATTGGGGGCATTCTTGGGCACTACTCCTGCTGCAATGGGGACACATGGTCTTCTGAGCTTGGAATTCTTAGTGATGCAACACCTCGATTAATCACAACCTTCAAGGTGGTCAATTCATTTCGGTATTTCTTGATTCTAACATTTTCTCTCTCATTTCTTAAACCATTTGGTCTCTTCCTCCTCTTGTACTGTTGTTCTTTACTGATTGGACACAAAACCTTTCTGGTCTATTTTAGCCACTGCACATCTCATGCTTAAGCCGTTGGGGAACCATATTATTTGAGCTCACATTTTTCTTTCATATCGAATTTGAAATGGCAAGCCAAATATCTGCTTTCTGATTGCAAATTTCTTTTGGTTTCAAAATATGTCAATATTTCAAGCTAGGATTTAGTTTTCCTTTGTTGATTTGGCACTTGGTGCATGTTACGCTGGTCCTTATCAGCTACATGAACTCATATACAATGGACGAATAATTGTGGTTGATTTGGATGTTGTCTCATTCTGGATGCAGCCTGTTCGTAAGGGTACTAATGGCGCAGTAACAAAAGCAGGACTCCTTGCAGCTACTGCTGCAGGTGCTGTCATAGGACTGACGTTTGTTCTCCTTGGATTTTTCACTGCAAAATGTGCTTATGGCACAGCACTGAAACAGCTATTGGTAATTCCCCTAGCAGCCGTGGCTGGACTTTGTGGAAGTGTCATAGACTCTCTTTTGGGAGCAACACTGCAATTTAGTGGATTCTGCACGGTTCGTAATAAGGTAAGCTACTTCATTTTCAGATTATGGCTTTAAAATGTATTCCCATTGCCCTCATCCGTAATTTATATGCCCCTTGAATGACTGATTCTGTTTTGCCAAACTAAAATAACAGAATTACAATCGTAGGGGGATTGCCATACATAGATGAAAGAAATATTGTTGTATTTGAGTGAAAAGTACAGTCTTATGTAAATAAATAAAAACCATAAAGTTACAAGGAGACAAATTAACCAGCTAACCTATTAACTATTGAAATAGCAAACATTGATGATGATGGTTATTTGACGCTCAAGTAAGTGTTGGAGGTTATTACACTGTTGCTACATCTAATTTGTTGTTTAATGTCAAAATATTCGAAATGAATTGAAACATCAGAATAGATTGATGTTTCATTTACAAATATACAGTCTTCTCTCTTTCTTTCTTTTAATTTTGGGTTGAGCTGATAGTAAGTATCTAAGAGTTCTGCTAGATCTGTATAGTTCAAAGTTGTTGTTCTATGAGAGTTGATCATTGTATCCTACTTAGAAAATCGTTGTAGTATGCTAGCAACCCGTGCAAAACGAATAATTGCCTTAAGGTCAACGCTTTTGAAGCATGCCTCGGTTACCAATCATCAAATTTTTCTCTCTTCAAGTTTCGTTTGTTTGATGTTGTTGTTGTTGTCGATCCGGTCATCTACGACCACTGAAGATTTTGATCTGCTGATCTGATTTATGTTGTTCTTTTTTAAAAAAATTAATTACTTTGTGTTTGTAGTGTAATCTATTTGCTATACACAGTCTATTTCCCCTAACAGCAATGAGTTATCTGTTATGCAGGTCGTAGGAAAACCAGGACCGACTGTCAAAAAGATATCAGGTCTCAACATTCTTGATAACAATGCTGTGAACCTCGTGTCGGTATTATTAACCTCAATGCTTACTTCGATTGCCTGCATTTACATATTTTGAACGATATCTGCCGTTGTAAGATAAAGCCAGAGGCATGCTAGACAGAACTCATTATCAAATAAAGTTCTCGGGATTGGCAACATAATCATTCTTAATTCATCAACTTGGATTTGCTTACGGTTGTCATATGTTCCTATGCTCATTTTGTGTCACGAAGTAGGAAAACTCTTCCATTTCTTCATAAAGACTAACGTCTAAGGTCTCTTTTCCAATCCCAAGTCCTCCGGTCTTCACATGGAAGGTGAAAATTGTTAGGAATCACGACTCTCCACAATGATATGATATTGTCTACTTTGAGCATAAGCTCTCATGGCATTGCTTTGAGCTTCCCCAAAAGACCTCATACCAATGGAGATATATTCCTTACCTATAAGTTCATGATCATTTCCTAAATTAGTTAACGTGGGACTCCCAACAATCCTCAACAAAAATACGATCATTAGACCAATGAACTACCTATGGAAGGCACCTTTTGTCGAGATTAACCGACTTGGGCTTGTTTCTAATATCTAAACTAGAGGAGATTATATTAGTATCTAAACTTCTATCCAGCCCTCTAACTCCTCTTCTCCTAGTCAGTTGGATTGCCATTGAGAGAATTGATTAGTCCATGGGAAGGCTAACGCCCGAGTGACATAATTTAGTGGATAAAATATCAATTATCATCTTAAAAGTCTAACAATTTGATCCTCAACCTCTACCATCGTAAAGATTTGGGGTGATAGGTAACGATTTGGGGTGATAGGTAACTTAGCATTTATGGGTTCAAATTTAGACTAGATAAATCAGTTATTTATTGTTGTTAGTAATTGGTTTTACTCGATCTATACATATCATTGGCCATTTTCATATCTTTTTCTGGGCAGTTTTTTGTACTGCATTTCTGAGATCTAAACAATCTCAAAAGTACTTTACTATTAAAGAACTTTACGTGACTAGAAGTCGACATTAAAGGTAATTCCATCCTTTTCTATAAGACATTAATTTGATCATCATTTATGACTCAACGAAAACGAGGAAAAGGGTTCAAAATTAGGAGTTAGCATTAAGTCAATCGTATTAGACCACTTAAGCTATGTTCAAGCTAACAACTCTATACAAGACTTAAGTATGTATTACTTTCCAAACCGACATTTTATTATACAAAACTAAGGCCTAAACACATTTAAGGCAATGCCATGACTGCAAAAATAAATTAAAAAAGAAAAAAGAAAAAAGCTGCCCATCCAAAAACATCCTCCCCCCTCTCTCCTTTTCTCCTTTTCATGGTGTTCTTGGAGCTGCATATAAGTGAAACCACAAACTGTTAATTTGAATAATAATTATGGAACAAGATGATTTTCTTAATTAAAAACACTCATTTACCTGCCCCAATGGTATCTGAACCCTTCATCAAACGAATACGTTTGCAAGATTCAATAAATAATCTGCACATTTTGCAATACGATTAGAATGGAGAAGGTTAATTAATTAATTAATTAATTAATTAATTAGTTAGTTAGTTAATTAACCAAGATTAAAAAATAATGATGATCAGACTTACTTCCATGGGACATCTCCGACTAACATCCAATCCCCATCTTTATCTTCATAAGTTGGTAAGTACTCATCCCCTCTCTTCATTGGGTTCAAATTGTTCCCTTCTTCCAAGTAATCACCTAAAACACACGTATATCCATAAGAGATATGACACTCTTTTGGGCATTCACTTTAAAATACGTTTGCTAGACAGAGGTTTCCACACTCTCATGTAGAATGTTTCGTTCTCCTCCCCAACCGATGTGAGATCTCACACATCTGTACTATCATTCCATCATTGCCCATCTCAAAATACGATGATCATTAGATAGAAAAATGTCGGTTGCATTGTATCAACCATACTGAGCAACAAAGTGATTTTCATGCGTAACTAAATAGATAAGACACTTTTTACCGACCTAAGGGCCGTCAAATTGTTCAATCCCGACATGGAATGATAATAATAATGAAGAAGAGTTAGTAAGTTATGAACTCACAACATATGGGAAAGGAGGTGAACAATTCCTCAAATGCAATGAATAGGTCTCGATAGCCATTGAACATCTCAAGGTCGAGCTTACGCAGATACGGCGCCCCATCAGCCGCAACTTTGACATACTTGCACCTCATTTCTATTGTCTTTCTTCTATATGATCTCACCGGCGGCCAACCCATTACCGCCCGCTTTTGCCCTACAAAACCAAATCATAACATTCCACGTCATACTCAAAAGTGTCAAGTCAAGTCCATAAGCTTTATATAATCTATGTTGAAACTTACCATCGCCAGAAGAGATGAGTTCTGGCTCGTTGCGACCATCCCTCGGTTCACTTGTCGAGCTCCCGACACCGGCATCGACCGTGTCGTGGAAGCCACGCTTGGCGTTCACTTTGTTTCCGGGAAGTCCCAAGGTGAGCTCAGTTTCGTCGAAGCTGATTTGGGCCATATCGGATTCCGGTGACTGTGGAACCGTCTCCGACGTCGACATTGTTGCACACTCCTTTGTCTGTTTCTGTATCTCTCTTTGGTTGTGAATAATGAATTCATTGGTTTAGGGTTTTCAATTCATTTATAGAATTGAAGTTGGAAATAGAGAAGAGATGATTATTGTATGAGGAAAGAGACAAATGGGAAAACGACACGTGGGGCATGGCTGCTTAAACCATTGGCCCACGTGGCTAAGTTCATTTGAGAGACAGAAATTGAGATTTGGATGGTGATTGTCGGTTCATTCAATCTAAAACCCTTTTTCGTCCTTGTTTTAATTTTACGTCAATTTTACATCAAAATTAATTCAACCTGTTTTTTTGCTGAATAATATATATATATATATATATATATATATATTTATTTAATTGATTTTGATGAGTTAATTCTAAGAGAAAACTAATTAATTTTGTTAATTTATAATTGAAAGGCGCATGGAAATTAGAGGGCTATTATTGTAATTTTATTGGCACAAAAATCGGAGATGGGAGAGGGTAATTATGGGAATATGATTGGAGCAGTTGACGGAAGAGGATGACGTGGCGAAAAAGCAAGGAGTGGGGCCCACAGAGTGTACCGAAAAGTCAATGGTGGAGTGATTTGACTGTGGAAGGTTTGGTTAGGGAGACAGAAACATGGAGAAGCTTTGGAGTTTGTCGATTCCTGTCGCGTTGCCCTACGAACGATTCATCGTATCCTATTCCTCGCCTTTTCTTTTTCCCTTTATTTTTTAATTTCTCAAATTAAAACATTTTTCTTTTTTCTTTTTTTAAATAAAAATTAAAAAAATATCATCAAAGCATACGTTTTGCTAAAACCAGTGGCCGCACGCGGCTTCAAGAAAAATAATAATAACATTTTTGAAAAACATATTAAAAAAATAAAGAATCCACGATAACGCCATGCCATAATTCTGACAGTTTATTTTTTTTATTATTTTAATGTATAGATTTGAAAGATTATAATAAGTGATTACCAAACAAATTAATCGTTATCATAGTGATATGATTCCACAGTGATACCTTTAATTTTGGATAACCTAATTACATGCATTATTAATAAGATAATTACTCTATGTTTATAGATTTACCAGACGAAAAAAATAAATTTATTTAAATTATCAATTATTTTTTTAAAATCTTAAAATTTTAAAATTAATTAATTAATAGTTTTTGGAATCAATAATACTGCTACAATAATTAAAGCTCTAAAGTAAGAATAAATACTAATTTATTAGAACAGTATTGAATCTCCACACCATTAAATGTCATTTATTTTTTGTTTAAAAAAAAGGAAAAAATGTCTTAAAACTAACTTAACTATATTAGGATGGCGTTATAGATAACCATAATTATTAAATTTTATGTGAGAGAGAGAGAGAGGGATGGTGCAAATACATTGAATTTAGCATTAAATTTATATTTGGTTTAATTGTTAAGAAGCTTCAGTGAATGTGGTTGCATCTTCACACACGCCCACCCACTTAATTAATTATAATTAATTTAAGTTAATTGATGAATTAGTAGCAGAGTTCATGTACTTGGTTATGCTAATCAAGCACGTTGGATCCTAATCTTTACCCTCTTTTTACGCCTAATTTTCAAAATCTTCTTTTTAGTATTGCTTTATTATAAAGAAAAATGAAGGGTTTTTTTTTTTTTTTTTTTTTTTTTTTTTTTTTTTTTTTTTTTTTTTTTTTTTTT